AGGAAATCACGTTAATTTGGAGATGTTGTCCGTGAGATATTTTTGTATCCATGGCGGTCTCTGTTGCTTCCCTGGAGTGTTGGAGGGAATAAAGGAATTTTTGGGGGATTTTGGGAATATTTTGAGCGTCCCTTGGTGCCGTTCACCCCTGTGAAGTGCTGAGTGTCATCCATCCTAAACCAGCCTGGATATGGGAATTGGCACTGCTGGGAGGTTTCCCCTCTGTCCCCAGCCCTCCAATCACTCCTAAACCAACGCCCTGAATGTGGGAATTGGTGCTGCTGGGAGGTTTCCCCTCTGTCTGAGCACTCCAATCCATCCTAAACCAGCCTGGATGTGGGAATTGGCGCTGCTGGGAGGTTTCCTCTGTCCCCAGCACTCCAATCCATCCTAAACCAATGCCCTGAATGTGGGAATTGGTGCTGCTGGGAGGTTTCCCCTCTGTCTGAGCACTCCAATCTATCCTAAACCAACCTGGATATGGGAATTGGCGCTGCTGGGAGGTTTCCCTCTCCCTGAGCACTGCAATCCATCCTAAACCAACCTCAATGTGGGAATTGGCGCTGCTGGGAGGTTTCCCCTCTGTCTGAGCACTCCAATCCATCCTAAACCCACCTGGATGTGGGAATTGGTGCTGCTGGGAGGTTTCCCCCTCCCCAGCACTCCAATCCATCCTAAACCAGCCTGGATGTGGGAATTGGCACTGCTGGGAGGTTTCCCCTCTCCCCAGCACTCCAATCCATCCTAAACCAGCCTGGATATGGGAATTGGCGCTGCTGGGAGGTTTCCCCTCTCCACGAGCACTCCAATCCATCCTAAACCAATGCCCTGGATGTGGGAATTGGCGCTGCTGGGAGGTTTCCTCTGTCCCCAGCACTCCAATCCATCCTAAACCAGCCTCAATGTGGGAATTGGCACTGCTGGGAGGTTTCCCCTCTCCCTGAGCACTCCAATCACTCCTAAACCAACCTGGATGTGGGAATTGGCGCTGCTGGGAGGTTTCCCTGGCAGTGGGTGTGAGGGGTGAGGTGTGGGCGCTCCCTGGCACCGTGCCCGTCCCCTGCAGGTGAAGAGCGTGAAGCCGTGCCTGAAGCAGCTGCAGCAGTGCATCCAGACCATCTCCACCCTGCACGACGACGAGATCCTGCCCAGCAACCCCGCTGACCTCTTCCACTGGCTGCCCAAGGAGCACATGTGTGTGCTGGTCTACCTGGTGAGAGCTCCTCGTTAATTAGTGAGGGCTAACGAGGGCTGTGGAGCCGGCAGGGATGGGCTTTGTGGCTGCCTTGGGCTGATTTCCCTCAGCGACCCTGGGGTGATGCTGAGGGGGCTGCTCAGCGTGTGAGGAGATTGTAGGCTGGAAATGGGAATTAATTAATTAATTAATTATTAAATTATTTATTAATTAGTACCTGACTCAAATGCAAATGGAGTTATTTGTACAAATCAGAGCTACTTTGGCTTAATTTCATCAACTCTTTGTGCTTTTTTTCCCCTCAATGTCCATGGGGTGATGCTGAGGGGGCTGCTCTGTGTGTGTGGAGATTCCAGCCTGGAAATGGGAATTAATTAATAAATAATTAATTACTTGACAAATCAATACCCCACTCAAATAAAAATGGAGGTATTTGTACAAATCAGGCCGCTTTGGCTTAATTTTACCAACATGAGGAACGTTGGACTTGGAATTGCTGAAGGATTTTGTTCCATTTCTTGGAGATTATTCCAGTGCTTGGTAAAAAATCTGGGATTTGAGGAATTCTGTGAATTCCCAGCCCTTCCCTCTCTGCACAGACAAATCTTGGGAGTCATGGAATAGCTGGGGTGGGAAGGAGCTTTAAAATGATCCATTCCCACCTCTCATCTCACCTCCCACTGTCCTGGGGTGCTCCAGGACTTTTCCAGGGATTTCCGCTGTGGGACTGCGTCCCAGGGAATTGCTGAGGGATAATCCTTGCTGTGCTCCCCTGCAGGTGACCGTGATGCATTCCATGCAGGCAGGCTACCTGGAGAAGGCCCAGAAGTACACGGACAAAGCCCTCATGCAGCTGGAGAAGCTCAAAAGTAAGGAGAAAGGGCTTGGAAATCAGCTGGAAAATCCTGGAAAATCCCGTTTTTTATTCCTCATTTAAACCCATCCCACAGCCCTGCTGAGCTGTTGGCTCAGCCTAAAACTAAAACTAAACCCCTGATTTTGAGGCTGGGTGGTGGCTTTGGAGTACAAAAATCAACTTTTTGGGTTTTTTTTTTTTGGGTGGGATTTGAATAATTTCATAAATGCCTGATGGGATTGCCCCTGCTCCCTTGGCAGTGCTGGACTGCAGCCCCATCCTGTCCTCATTCCAAGTGATTCTGCTGGAACACATCATCATGTGCAGGCTGGTCACGGGACACAAAGCCACAGCCCTGCAGGAGGTACATGGGAATCCCAGCATTCCCTGCCTGGGAGAGCTCCCAGAAAATGGGAATATTCTGCAGGAAAAGCCTCTGAACCGCGGGAATTGCTGCTGCTGGGTTATTCGTGGGTGCAGCCAGCCTTGGTGGGGCTCAGGCCCCGGGAAATGGGGGATTGGCTCCTCTTAAATGTTCATTTAAGGGCACTTTGGAATTGATCTTGGGATAATCAATAACTGGTTGGATTGGCACCTTCCTGGTGGCAGTTCCAGGCTGATTCCCGTGGGTTTTTCCCATTCCATCAATTCCAGAGTGGCTCCTTGTCCAGGAGTTTCCCAGTTTTTCACATTCCTGCTTTTCCTCCTCTTTCCTGGCTCGTTTGGGTTGTTCCAGAGGAAACTGCACTTTTTTTCTGTCTCATTTTTCCAATAATTTTAAAATCCTGGGAATCCATCCTGGGCCTGGATCATCCAATCCCTGCTGTCAGCTTTACTGGGAACACTGTGCTGGGAATGGGGAGGGATTGAGTCTCCTGAAATCCTCCCAATCCCAGATTTTGGGAGGTTTTATCCCACCTTTCCTGGAAAAGCTGAAGGGATCCGTGGCTGTGAATCCCAGGGGGTGGAGGAGAGCATTCCAGAGGAAATCTGGATGTGAGGAAATCCCTTTTCCTGTGCTGGAACATCCCCTTCTGTCCAGGACTGGAGATCCAGGATGGGATCCCTGCGTCCGTGCGGGGAGCGAGGGGCGGGATTGGAGCAGGAAACTGAGGGAAAAGGGTCAAAAATGGGGATTTGTGTTCCTGCCCAGATCTCCCAGGTGTGCCAGCTGTGCCAGCAGTCGCCCAGGCTCTTCTCCAACCACGCTGCCCAGCTGCACACGCTCCTGGTGAGTTTGGGGTGAAACCTGGGATTCTGCATCCCAAATGGAATTCCGGACGGGAGATTCCCTGGGAGCTGCAGGGCTGCACCATCCCCACCTTTGGGAAGGAAACCCTTTGGAAACAGAGCTCCAGCATGGCGTGGGCGGACAGGGGCACTGCCCGCTGCCCCAGGATGCTCCAGCAATTCCTGGAGAGAAAAATCACACTTTTCTGTGGGGAAAATTCCTGGGATTTGGCTTTTCCTGGGTGTTTTGGACATCCAGCAGTTTCTTCATGAAGGGAAGGGGAATTGGGGAGGAATCAGCTGGAAAAGGGGAAATCCAGGGATTTCAGCTGTGCCCACAGGAAATGGCTTTGTGTGGGAATTATAGAAGGCAAAAGGTTTTTGTAGGGAATACTGAATTTTCTGCAATTTTAATAACGATTTTTAAGCTAAATTAAGCTTTTTTCCCCATGAAAAAAATATTTTAAAGGACATTTTGGGGAAATTCCTTATTTTCCCCACACCTGAGACTCGTTGCTCCCTTTTTCTTGCTGTTATCCCAAAATTTCCATGGATTTGGGAATGTTTTGGGCTGCATTCCCAAAATTATCCTTTCTTTTCCAGGGTCTGTACTGCATCTCTGTCAACTGCATGGATAATGCAGAAGCACAATTCACTACAGCACTGAGGGTGAGATTTTATTCCCAAATTTCCTTCTGGAAACTTAAGGATGGCAATTTGAATTTGGAAGGGAAACCTTCTTTAATTCCATTATTCATTAATGATTTCCCTTGGATTGGGGAGGGCGATTTTTAACGTTTAAAATATCAACGTGTGATTTTTTTTTTAAGCCAGGATTTTTTTAATGGGAACGAACAAATCGTGAGGAAAAGTTGAAATATTTGTGAATTCTCTCCTTTCCAGCTCACAACCCACCAGGAGCTGTGGGCGTTCATTGTCACCAACCTGGCCAGCGTCTACATCCGCGAGGGCAATCGGCACCAGGAGGTCAGCTGGGCTCCTAATCCTGCTTTTCTGTGGAGAAAATCCCTGGGATTTGCCTTTTTCTGGGGGTCTTTGCCAGCAGAATCTCATTCATGAGGGGATTGGGAAATCCCAGTTTTCTGTGGAGAAAATCCATGGGATTTGCCTTTTTCTGGGTGTTTTTGCCATCAGGGCCTTGCTGGCACAATCTCATTCATGAGGGGAGTGAGAAATCCCAACGTTCTGTGGAGAAAACCCTGGGATTTGCCTTTTTCTGGGGGTTTTTGCTGGCAGAATCTCATTCATGAGGCGAGTGAGAAATCCCAGTTTTCTGTGGAGAAAATCCATGGGATTTGCCTTTTTCTGGGTGTTTTTGCCATCAGGGCCTTGCTGGCAGAATCTCATTCATGAGGGGATTGGGAAATCCCAACTTTCTGTGGAGAAAATTCCTGAAATTCTGCTTTTCCAGGGCATTTTTTCTGTCAGGGCCTTGCTGGCAGAATCTCATTCATGAGGGGATTGAGAAATCCCAACTTTCTGTGGAGAAAATTCCTGGGATTTGCCTTTTTCCGGGGGTTTTTGCCATCTGGGCCTTGCTGGCAGAATCTCATTCATGAGGGGATTGGGAAATCCCAGTTTTCTGTGGAGAAACCCTGGGATTTGCCTTTTTCTGGGGGTTTTTGCAGGCAGAATCTCATTCATGAGGCGAGTGAGAAATCCTAGTTTTCTGTGGAGAAAATTCCTGAAATTCTGCTTTCCCAGGGCATTTTTTCTGTCAGGGCCTTGCTGGCAGAATCTCATTCATGAGTGGATTAGGAAATCCCAACTTTCTGGGGAGAAATCCCTGGGATTTGCCTTTTTCCGGGGGTTTTTGCAGGCAGAATCTCATTCATGAGGCGAGTGAGAAATCCCAGTTTTCTGTGGAGAAAATTCCTGAAATTCTGCTTTTCCAGGGCATTTTTTCTGTCAGGGCCTTGCTGGCAGAATCTCATTCACCAGGGATTAGGAAATCCCAGTTTTCTGTGGAGAAACCCTGGGATTTGCCTTTTTCTGGGGGTTTTTGCCATCAGGGCCTTGCTGGCCACAGCTCCTTCATGGGGGGAGCAAAAAATACCCTTAAAGTCTGTGAATTCAGTAAAATTCTGATTCTCATTAATCAAATCCGATACAAAATTCACTATCAGATCCACCAGCTCCAAGTTTTCCGTGGGAATACAATTATCCAGGAAATGCTGTGGAATTGGAGGAGATTTGGGATAAAACTTGGATTTTTGGGATCAAAACAAGCCTAAAATTCCCAATATTGGGATAAACGTGGGCCGGTTTGGGTGGAATTTCACTGTTTTGGTGTTGATTTTTCCTTGGAAAATCGATTTTTCCTTTTCCTCTCCCACTTTGCAGCTCTACAGTTTATTGGAAAGGATAAATCCCGACCACAACTTCCCAGTGAGGTGAGAATTCCCACAAATCCCAACGTTCCGGGCTGGGAATGGCGGATTTGCAGCAGGATTTTCAACAGATTAGGGGAAAAAATCCAACTTAATTCTAAGGGGAAACTCGGGAGGGTTTTGGGGTGGAATTCCTGGGAATTTGGGTGGGATGCTGAGGTGTCCATGGTTTTTATTCCCATAGTTCCCACTGTCTGCGGGCTGCAGCGTTCTACATCCGAGGGCTCTTCTCCTTTTTCCAGGGAAGATACAACGAGGCCAAGTGAGTCCAGGCCCTGGGAAAAGTGGGAAAAATGTGGGAAAATGTGGGAAAATGTGGGAAAAGTGACCCTGGCTTTTTTGGGATGGGAGTGGGAATGCCCAGGCTTTGTGTCCATCCCATTCCCATGGATTTTGGGATTTTCTCCTGGATTGGCTGGGGAGGAAGAGCAGGGATGTGGTGGGGGTTGAGCTCTTGCCTTGGGAATCCTTGGGAATCATTCCCTGCAATCCTTGGGAATCCTTG